CCATGTTCAACTGCTGTTCACATGGAACCCTTCTCCACTTCAGCCTTCAAAGTTCTCAATTGAATATTTCCTACTACCACCAAGATCTGCACCTGCGGTGGCTCCACCCGGGCCTGCACCCTCTTATTGCCAGCGATGGCCGGGTATGGGCCCAACGCTCGAGCATTATTCATTTTCAGGGCTGATTCAACAGGTGAGTTGTTACACACTCTTTAGTGGATTCCAACTTCCACGGCCACCGTCCTGCTGTCTATATCAACCAACACCTTTTCTGGAGTCTGATGAGCGTCGGCATTGGGCACCTTAACCCGGCATTTGGTTCATCGCGCAGTGCCAGTTCTGCTTACCAAAAGTGGCCCAGTAGGCACTCACATTCAATGCCTGGCTCCACGCCAGTGAGCCCGGCTTCTTACCCATTTAAAGTTTGAGAATAGGTTGAGATTGTTTTGGCTTCAAGACCTCTAATCATTCGCTTTACCAGATAAAACTGTGGAGACAGGTGAATGCCAGCTATCCTGAGGGAAACTTTGAAAGGAACCAGTTACTAAATGGTTCGATTAGTCTTTCACCTCTATACCCAGGTCGGATGACTGATTTGCACATCAGGACCACTATGGACCTCCACCAGAGTTTCCTCTGGCTTCGCCCTGCATAGGCATAGTTCACCATCTTTGGGGTCCTAGCACATATGCTCGTACTCCACCTCACTGACGCGGCTGGCCAGATGGGCCAGTGGTGTGCCCTTCACAAACGGTGGCCTTGGGATCCTACCTCAGCCAACGCGTGCTGGCCCTCACCTTCATTGTGCCATGGGCTTTTGTTTGATCCTCTGACTCGTGCACGTGTTAGACTCCTTAGTCCGTGTTTCAAGACAGGTTGGGTGGGTGGCCGACATTGCCACAGACCCCCAGGTGCCCAGCATGACCCTCCCTGCCCAGCGGTGGGATGCGGTCAGGGTACACTGAGGACAGTCTGCCCCAGTTGACAGTCATGCTGGGAGCGAGGGGGCCCATCCCCCAGTGGGCCCCCATGCCACCCACCATGAAGAGGAGGGAACGGGGGGCTGCAGGGGAAGGTGCGGCGGTGGTCATTTCCCTTGACCCCAGGATGTGGTGAGAGCTTCTGCCTGGGGGCTGTAACACAAGCCGCCACAAAGCGGAGAGCCACCTGCCCACCAGGCCTTCCAAGCTGACCCAGAGCTGGTCACGATGCAGTGCCACAGTGGAAACGTGCTTGATGGGGACCGGGGCCATCTGGGCAGTGGTCCCCAACTGCCCCACCCCAAGGAGGGGGATATGAGGGGGATTCAGTGTCCCGGGCCAGCCAACCAAACCCGCCAGGCTGAATCCTCTGGGCAGACTGCACAGACCCCACCCGTTTACCTCTTAACAATTTCATGCCCTCTTGAACTCTCTCTTCAAAGTTCTTTTCAACTTTCCCTTACGGTACTTGTTGACTATCGGTCTTGTGCCGGTATTTAGCCTTAGACAGAGTTTACCACCCACTTTGGGCTGCATTCCCAAGCAACCTGACTCTGAAAAGACCCAGTCCCTACCAGCCTCACACCATCCATGGGCAGTGTCTCGATCAGGACTTGGGCCCCCTGAGAGTGGCACCAGGGAGTGGGTCTTCTGTATGCCACATTTCCCACACCCCACACCCCACGGGACGGGGATTCAGTGATGCGCTCTTCCCTGTTCACTCACCGCTACAGAGGGAATCCTGGTTAGTTTCTTTTCCTCTGCTGACTAATATGCTTAAGTTCACTGCCAGCTCCAGGACACTGCTCTTCTCCCCAGCCCTGAGTCCAGAGCAGGGACACATGTTGAGCTTGCCTTCCCCAGATCTCAGATGCTGCAGGCAGCAGTGGCTTGAAGCAGTCAAGGGTGCACCCTGACAATTCACTCCTTTTCAAACAGCACATTGCTCTCCCAGAGACAGTGTTTACACAGTCCAATGCACCACATTTGGATTCACTTTGGTTCCCTGCAGCAGGGAAAGGTGAGCAGAGCAGAGCAGGATGGTGAAGAACTTGGGTCTGCATCAGAGGAAAAGGAGCAGGCACAATGAATCATTCCTAACCATGATGTAGTTTGCAGGTGCTGGTTACAGCTGTGTTGGTCTAAGGACATAGGCAGACAAGGTGTTTTGGGTAAATTATATCACATTTACCCAAAGCACTTTGTCTAACCAGGACATAAGATTTCTGCATCATGAATGGGGAGTCCCCATTACCAGCTCCGGGGAACTGCTCCACTCCCCAGCCCCTAGTCTTGTGCTTGGAGGATTATTGCAAAATCCATTGTATGAGGATTCTAGTCTATTAGGCTTAACATAGTATGGATCCAGGCTTAGCAAAAGGGGGCGGCAGGACCAAAGCAGCACACTCATGGACCGAAGTGGCACGTTCATGGACTGAAGTGGCATGCTCATGGACTGCTACACCTTAGAGGGAACATTGGCACATGCCCCCACATCCCCTCCAGGAGTACATGGGACCAGCAGCGGGCTGGTCCCCCCACCCCCTCCCCCAGATGAGCTGCCTGCAGCTCCATCCCACTCCCTGCTGGGGGCCTTCAGCCGTACATGGCCCTGGGCTCCAAACCCCATGCACCACCTCAGCTGGGCAGCAGTCCCAGCCCTGTCCAACTCCCTCCTCCCTCCCCGAGGACCTTAACCCCCCCCCCCCCCATCGCCAGACATACCTGTGGAAGACACTCTCCAGGTTGCCTGTCACCCATGTGCATGTGAGCATGCACATGGCACCCCTGCCTGACTGACCTCCTTCTGCTCTTGCCAGCCCCTTGCAGGCTGGAATGTTGCCAGCCTGCAAAGAACTTTTTGCGAAACTGGAAAATCCATGTGTTTCTCCCTTAAAATGAAATTTTCACATTTTTCTCAGTTAAAAGGGAAAACCCGCAGTTTTTTCATTTTTCCATAGGCAATGAAAAACTTGGATCCCTGTTTATCAATGACCTGGAAGATGGGATGGAGTGCACCCTCACCAAGCTGGGGGAGTAGTAGATACACTGGAGATAAGGGCTAGAATTCAGAGAGTCCTCAACAAATTGGAGGATTGGACCAAAAGAAATCTCATGAGGTTCAATAAGGAGAAGTGCAAAAGTCCTACACTTAGGATTGAACATGCCCATGCACTGATGCAGGCTGGGAACCAACTGGCTATAGAGCAGCAGCTCTATAGAAAGGGACCTGGGGGTTACAGTGGACAATAAGCTGAATATGAGCCAGGGGTGTGCCCTTCTTGTGAAGAAGGCTAACAGCATACAGAGCTGCATTAGTAGGAGCATTGCCAGCAGATTGCGGGAAGTGATTCTTCCCCTCTGTTCTGTACTGGTGAAGCCATATCTGGAGTACTGTGTCCAGTTTTGGACCCCCACTACAGAAAGAATGTGGACAAATTGGAGAGAATCCAGCAGAGGGCAATGAAAATGGTTAAGTTTCTTAGTTATTTCAGTCTTCTCTTCATTTTGTTGCTTTCCATTGGACTATCTCCAACTTGTCCACATCCTTTCTATAATGGGGGGCCCAAAACTGGACACAGTACTCCAGATGTGGCCTCAACAGTGCCAAACAGAGCAGAATAATTACTTCCCTTGATCTGTGAGAAATGACAGAAGTATGAAGGGGTATTTAGTAGCAGCCTTCAAGTACCTGAAAGGTAGTTCCAAAGAGGATGGAACTGTTTTCATTGGTGTCAGATGATAGAACAAGGAACAAGGAAGTTTAGGTTAGATATTAGGAAAAACTTTTTCACAAGAAGGGTAGTAAAGCACTGGAAAAGGTTACCCAGAGAAGTTATGGAATCTCCATCCTTGGAGGTTTTTAAGGCCTGGCTAGATAAAGCCTTGGTTGGGATCAGAGTTGAAGCTGGTCCTGCGTTGAGCAGGAGTTGGACTAGATGACCTCTTGAGCTCCCTTCCAACACAAATTTTCTATGAAAATGTAGGATTTTTTATTCTTAAGGAAAGACATACAAAAAGGGTCTTCCCTGAAATATGGAGAGCTTGGCAGTTCCATGAAATACTCTTCCTGATACCCATTTCTTTTCCTGTTTCCATAACATGAAAATATCTGATGAAAGTGAAAAGAACATTTTATAGTAGATGGAAATGCATCTTCTGTAGAATGTTGTCAGCTTGTTTGGTTCCATACTACAGAGAGCCAATGGGTTATTCAGTACGTGTCTAGATGCTAGATAAATGGATGTCTGCAAGTGTTATGTTCTACAGTTAAGTAAATGTAATGCATTCAAAAGCACTAGCAGGCTTCTTTGCAAGAGTAAGAGATGTTCTCTCTCACATGCAGTAATACATATTTTTTCAGGTTTTTGTGTTTCAGATGGGCTATAGACATGCTTGTCTGAATGCTCTTGATCTCATAAGCTAAACATCTTTGGGACATGTTACAGGTATTGTTCAATTAACTGGTTGCACAATTACCTTGAGACCAGCTATGCATACAAAGTACCTGTTATGCCATGAAAAACTCAAACTAGCTATAAAGTTAGACTTTGAAAATGGATACTAAATTTACAGTTGATTACTATTGAGCTTTAATTTATACATGTAGCAGGGCCTCCCCTACATCTGAGAGCCCCATCCCACAATCATGCCTTCTGCCATGAATGTGTGGCATGGAAGGAGGTACGATTGTGCGGATCACACATTAGACCCAATTACACCTTTATCTGCATAAGTAGAGGGGCCCTAGGTCTTATGTGGATAGGAGACTGCCAGGGAAGCCCAGGTGCAGTAGGAACAAGCCATGGAGTACCAAATACATGATGACTATTAAACCAGAAAAACTGAGTGGACAGCCTACATGTGTTCTTGTTGCTGTGACCTAACAGGTGGGCATTTATGTAATTTTCAA